GCATTTTAGGTATTTCCGCAAGCCAATGTCGCATGACAAAAAGCTATGTATTTTATGATCTTTTATTGATGTATTAAAATATTCATCTCTCCTATTAAGTTCTTGGAAAAATGTCGAATTAATCAATAATGAAAAATCAGTAAAATGATGGCTGCAATTAGTGCGTGATTCCGTGGCTTTACGCCATGTAGTCTTTTATAGTTTTCCATAGTAATGATAGTAATTTTATTTTTCAAGTATAAAAGAGAATAAAAGAGTGTTTACACTACATTTATAAAAGGCTAAATATCAGAAAACCCCTCTTAACTTTGGACAATTATTGGAAAACCTCATTTAACTTTTAAATATCAGAAAATCCCCCTTAAGTATCTGGATTATCACAAAACTCCATTTTACCTTGAGATTTTATCAAAAAAAAAATTCTTTTAAGTTTAATATTTTATCAGAAAACATCTCTAAGATTTTTGATAAAATCTCAAAATTAAGTTGGGCTTTGTGATAACTGCTAAACTTCTAAGAGTTTTCTGATAATTAATCATCCAAAGTTTTTTGAACCACAACATCTTGTTTGTTTATTTTTCAAAAAGGAATGATCAGTAGAGTAACAACGTCCAAGATCCTGCCATGTATAAAGTAGCTAGCAAATTAAAGAGAATCGTTATTTGAAAATAAATAAATAAATATGGAAAATTTGAAATAAAGAGATGGAGATGAACAGTTGTGATGCTTCCACGTGCATCCTCACGCCACACATTTTTTTTATTTTTCCCACCTTCTCCCCCTTTTGGGGACTTCACCCCTTGCTTGTTGGGTCGTTCCTGACACCATTAAAATCGTGATATACGAGAGGGAGATTTGGGGTACCGCGTGTAATTCTGACTAAGTTGTGAGGACATTTGATTAGTAGAATAACGAGTAAAAGACTGACGCATGTCCTTTTCCTCCCCTGCATGCGCTTTTTCATATTCAGCAGCCTCTCGTGGAGTCCTCTCCGCTGCTAAAAAAAGACCTATTAGAAACATTTATTTGATTAACTCGTCGCTAATAAAGGCTATTAGTAATAATTATTGGTTATGATAATAACTAATTTTAACTTTCTAGTAATAAAGGTTCACTTTTTTTATTTACAAATTAAATAAATTAAAATATCAAATCTGTTTTGAAATAAAATAAGGGAAATAAAAATTTGGGCGCTCAAGAAGTTAGAAAATCTAAAAAATTAGGCAACTCCTTCCTTCTCCTCTCTCGTTTTCTAACGCTCAAACCTTAACCCTAGAATCCCCACTGCTTATTGCCTCCCCCAGAAGCTCCTCCTCCATCCCACGCCAGCCTCCCCCAGCCCGAACCCCCGCATCAAATCTTCACTGTCCCGGCTGTCAGGCGCCCAACCTTTTTGACCCAGCCAACATGAAAACAAAAGAGGGGCCCACAAAGGCGGGCCCCACAAGAAGAAAATCAAATTTGGTGGCAGCCATTGTTGAGAATTTATAAAGGATGTGGGTCCCACGAATATTTTATTATTAGTGGCGGGTCCCACTGATAATATTTTATTTGTGCATAGTATTTCCCAAACACTATAAATAGGGCCCTAAACTCTTAAGGAAATCTCATCCCAAAAACAACTCCTCTTATAGAAGAGTAAGAGAAAACAAAGAGAGAGTTTGTGAGAGTTCTTGGAGTGTATCTGATCAAGAGAGGGTGTTCTCTTGGATCAATTCTTTTGGGATATAAATGAATTTGGCGTCGTCGTTGCACCGTGGAGTAGCTCCGAAGGAGTGAACCACGTATATCTGTGAGTACTCTGTGTTGAATTTTGTGCCTTTATTTTGTGATTAAATCTCCGTTCGAGGCTTTATTATTGGGGTGAATCCTAACAACTGGTATCAGAGCCTGACTTAGAGTATATATATCTGCTTATCGTATGCTCTGTGGCTGCCACTAAAAGTGGATCCTCCACATCAGAAAATAAGTTAGATTAATATTTACTCTTTTAAGGCATTGGGCACTATTCACTTGTACGTCACTATTCACGTGTATAGTACTATTCACGGATACGGTACTATTCACGAATACTGTACTATTCACAAATACGGGAAAGACATAATCTTTCGCCATGGGATCTACAGTTGAAGACAACAGGCTTCGAATTGAGAAGTTCGGCGGTCAAAATTTTAGGTATTGGAGGATGCAAATAGAAGACTATTTGTACCAGAAGGATCTCTTCCTACCCCTCCAAGGAGAGGCGGGGAAACCTGAGAAGATGGACGACGATAAGTGGAAGGTGCTTGATCGTAAAGTACTTGCCACCATCAGGCTCAACCTTCACCAGCATGTGACTTACAACGTCTCGCATGCGACCACCACCAAGGAGTTGATGGAGGCCTTGGAGGCGCTGTATGAGAAGCCGTCTGCTTCAAATAAGGTGTACCTGATGAAGAAGCTATTCAATCTCAAGATGCAGCAAGGAGCTCGCGTGGCGGACTTCTTGAACGAATTTCAGGCTGTGGTGCAACAGCTTGCTGCAGTAGATCTAAAGTTCGACAACGAGATCCAAGCTCTTCTGCTACTTTCTTGTCTACCAGATTCATGGGAGAATATGGTAATGACGGTGAGCAACGCTAATGGCAATGACAAGATGAAGCTCGACACAGTGGTTGGGGCAATTCTGGATGAAGAATCTCGCCGCAAAGTCTCAGGAGCTGAGGCCTCTAGCAGTGGGAGTGCTCTGCATGTCGAGGCACGAGAGCGTGCACAGAAGAAGGGTAGGGGACGACGAGACCAATCAAAATCCAGAAGGAAGTCTAAAGGGCCTAACCCGAATGGTTACGGTGAAGGGAAGTGCTTCAGATGCGGAAAGAAGGGCCACTTTGCACGGGACTGCAGAGTTACTGTTCAAGCATCAGCAGGGGATGATCGGGCTGACGGTGCAGCCAATCTCATGCACGAGACGGATTCGGATGCACTTCTCCTATCCCTAGAAGACAAAAGTGATGCATGGGTCATCGACTCTGGCGCATCTTTTCATGCAACCTCACAACAAAAGCTGCTTTCATCGTTCGTGAAGAAGGACTTGGAGACAGTCTATCTTGGCGACGATCAACCTTGTAAGGTTTCCGGAAAGGGAAATTATACCCTCAAGATGGAGGGCGGGACCACCTTGACGCTGAATGATGTTCGGCATGTACCAGATCTCAGGCGAAATCTTATATCAGTCGGACAACTGACTGACTCCAGTTACAGAGTATCCTTTAAGCAGAGAAGCTGGAAGGTGTCCAAGGGTGCCCTGGTGGTGGCACACGGCAAACGCGAGGGGTCTCTCTACATCGCCAACGGGAAGATCGACCACTTGCTTGCCGCAGGACAAGCATCATCATCATCATCCGTCGACTGCATGACTTGGCATCGACGACTTGGCCACATGAGCGAGAAGGGGATGCAGATTATGGCCGCGGGAGAGAGGCTTCCGGGTCTGAACAAGATCGATCTGACTTTCTGTGAGGACTGCATCCTAGGCAAACAAAAGAAGGTGAGCTTCAACAAGACCGGACCGGCTCCAAAACTGCAGAAATTGGAGTTGGTGCACACCGACGTGTGGGGACCTGCGCAAGTCCCATCTGTTGGTAACTCTCTTTACTTTGTCACTTTTATTGATGATGCTACGAGAAAATTATGGGTGTTCTTCTTGAAGCACAAGTCAGATGTATTCATCATCTTCAAGAAGTGACTTGCCTGTGTGGAGAACGAAACAGGCAATAAGCTGAAGTGCCTAAAGTCTGATAATGGAGGCGAGTATTGCAGCCAGGAGTTTGAGAGCTTCTGCTCGTCCCGTGGGATTCGGAGACTGAAGACCGTCCCAGGCACACCTCAGCACAACGGAGTGGC